GGAAGGGTTTTTCGCATTTCTTCTCGTCGCTCATGCACTCATGTTATAGCGAAATGTTGAGCGCGTCCTCCACAGCTACTCCGTGGTGGAGAGGGATAGTATTGCTTCATGCGCGATCCCCGGGCAGGGAACGCTTAACCTTGAGGAAATAAAAAATCTTCCTCCTTGATACCTAGATAGGGTCCTAACGTTTCTTAAGAATATTGAATCGCCTGCGCTTAACCGTTTTGGCTCAGTGGATAGAGCGTCATCCTGTGGACCATGGGTCCCTGGTTTGATTCTGGTCAAGGGCATGTCCTTGGTTGCGGGCACATCCCCCAGTGGGGAGTGGGGAGTGTGCAGGAGGCAGCTGATCGATGTCTCTCTCTCATCGATGTTTCTAACTCTCTATCCCTCTCCCTTCCTCTCTGTAAAAAAAATCAATAAAATATATTTTTTAAAAAAAGAATAATGAACGACATAAACTGATGAACAAAAATGGAACCAGAGTCATAGAAGCATCGAACAGACTGTCCAACCTATGAGGGAAGGTGGGGGGCGGGATAAGGGGTAAGAGATCAACCAAAGGACTTATATGCATGCATATGAGCATGACCAATGGACACAGATGGGGGGAGTGTAGAGGGGGGCGAGGGGGGAGAGCACATACTGGGGGGTGGGGGCGGTCGGGGAGAGGTCAATGGGGGGGGGAAGGAGACTTTATGTAATACTTTAAGCAATAAAGAATTTAAATTTTTTTAAAAAAAGGATGATGAGAGGCTAATTACATTTACTTGTAGCCATACTTGCCAGAACTGTGACATAATATCAGTCATATTGAACTCATGAAGCCAAAAACTTTACGGACACCCTGACTGTAAGCGAAACATTTGTATGAAATAAAGTTAATGGTTTTGTGCTCTGTGGGTCTGAAAGAGAAATGAATCAACCGAAAGTTCAAAGGAAGTTTTTCCAACTTCGCATGGTAATCTGCCCTTAAGCACAGGCATTTAGAACAGAAATGAGAGACTGTATGCGTGGTACATGCTTTCAAGTTGTTGTGTGTAATCATCATGTTAAGTGTGAGCTATAAAAAAAAAGTGGAAGAAATGAAAAAATAAATTAAACATGGGAGACAGGGGTCACTGAAGTGCTTCTTGAATACCTCAGACAATTCGGTGGTGGCATTTATCACATAACTTAAAACCTGCCTATAATTCTTTTTTCTTCAAGAAGCTATTCTAAAGATGTGATTGGCACTTCTGAGCTCGGCGGTGAAAACAGACAAAGTAGAATAGTTTTCTAAAAAAGGTTAAATAAGAATAGTAATGAGCTTAAAATGTGCAACCACAACTGTTTTCTGCTTGCAATGATTTAATTAAAGCTGCTTTAATTGGTGTAATTTCCCCCCATGCTACAGTTGGCAATAGTATCGTAACCCAGAATTACTCTTTTCATGTGAAAAACCTCGTGTTACATGACTAATTATGACTAAAAAACATACACTTGTAGAACCCAGTTGCATTTCAATCTGACCTTGTTCATCTTGAATGAACTAGTAGATGTACCTTTTCAAAAGCAGTAACTAAATTGGCGACATTGAGATTTTATGCTCTGGCAATTTTAGAGAAGGCAGAAGACACATTTTTTTCTGATTTATGGATGTTGGTTTTATTTATTTTTTTAAAATAAATTGTATTGATTTTTTACAGAGAGGAAGGGAGAGGGATAGTTAGAAACATCGATGAGAGAGAAACATCGATCAGCTGCCTCCTGCACACCTCCCACTGGGATTGTGCCCGCAAGCAAGGTACATGCCCTTGACCGGAATCGAACCTGGGACCTTTCAGTACGCAGGCCGATGCTCTATCCACTGAGCCAAACCAGGTAGGGCAGTTTTATTTGTTTTTAAATAAAGCATCTCTCATCCATCTCAAGCAATATAACATCTACTTTACTACTTTTTATTGATTTCAGAGAGGAAGGGAGAGGGAGAAAGAGAAACATCAGTGATGAAAGAGAATCATTGATTGGCTGCCTCCTGCATGGCCCCTACTGGGGATTGAGCCTGCAACCC